TTGCACACACACATATTAATTCAATAAAAAAAAATTCAGAAACATTAATTAAAAATATATATGAACAGTAAATAAGTGTTGCTTATATTCTTATGTAAAGTAATGACTATTATGTTTATGCAGTATGCGTACTACATATATGATCTTTTTCTTTACCATTATCGTATAGCTTCTATTGTTCCATTTATTAACATTAAATAACATTACTTAAAAACCATATTAATTTTACTACAGCTACAACCAAGGTCTTATTTTCTTCAGTTTTATATGTATTGGTTTTGTAATCAACGAAAACAATGTTGTATCATTTCCTCGTGTTTTAATATTCTACGATTATTAATGAATTGTATTGCTCATTTTGCACATAAACATTAATTCAATAAAAAGACATTCAGTAATAAACAATAATGAATCTCTTGTACATAAGAGAAATGACGCTTGTTTACACGATGTACGCTGCCTGCACGTTGGCGGGCCGTTCAAACCCGTCGAATTCAGTTTCCGCCGCAAAATTTTTATTTGTTTATTTTTTTGTGTGTTTCAATAAAATACGTTAAAATTAAAAACTCGGGAAATTTGAGAAGCTACTATACGACATTTAACCCTTCAATATGTCTTCAAAGAGACCATGACGGAGAGAAAGTGGTGCTAGTGCTTCCAGGCATAAGCACAATTCACTATATATATATATATATATATATATATATACAATTGTACCCCACTTAACGCGGTCAATAAAACCCAGAGGGTACCGTGTTAAGTGAAAACCGCGTTAAGTGAACAACAGAACATATGGGATTAATTCCAATAGAAACCGGCCCGACCCCCAAACTCCACTTTTTGACGACACATAACTATGTTGTAGTAAAAATAACATCTTAATTTTATGATGGTACATGCACACAATTAATACTTAAGAGAAATAGAGAAATACAGTCGCCAAGTTAATGTCCATTCAAATAATGGACTCAACTCCCTCCCCCTCTTCTCACACTACATTGCTGGCTCTTCCCTCTCTGAGAAATTTTTGGGGGAAAACCACTAAATTTTAATAAATAATACCTCACACTAAAGTTAGGATAATACAATTGACATTGCTGGATTCCTTGTAAGACCAGGAATATTTTGAATATAAATGTCATAAATTTGCACAAAAGATAACATATTTACTCAGAGTAAACATTTTATCTAAAATTTGTATGTCTAATGCAAAATATATGATGTTTATATTCAAAATGATCACCAAATTGTAAGAATTCCAGCAATGTAAATTATATTCTGGCCGGGTAATTTGTATGAATTTTATGAGCTAAAACAAATATCTTCAGTTAATAATAAAAAAAATATTCTTCACGACACTATCTGTCAATCAAAGTACCCCACCTTGCCTCCCCCCCTCTTCCAACCGCGCGGTCAGTCCCAACCCTCCCCCCCACCCTCCACCAATCCTCCCTTCAAGAGAAAGGTTGGGTGAAAAAACTAAATTTTAACATTTTGTATTAAATAATACCTCAGATTAAAGTTAGGATAATATAATTGACATTGCTGGATTCCTTGTAAGACCAGGAATATTTTGAATATAAATGTCATATTTTGCACAAAAGATAACATATTTACTAGAGAAAACATTTTATCTAAAATTTGTATGTCTAATGTAAAATATATGATGTTTATATTCAAAATGATCATCAAATTATAAGAATTCCAGCAATGTAAATTATATTCTGACCGGGTAATTTGTATGAATTTTATGAGCTAAAACAAATATCTTCAGTAAATAAAAAAAAAAAAATATTCTTCACAGGGTAACAGATGGTCGGTCGGTCCCTCCCTCCCCCCACCCCCCACCAACCGTCCCAAGGAGATGTGTGGGAAAACCAGAATATTTAACTTTTTAGTAATAAATAATACCTCAAACTAAAGTTAGGATAATATAATTGACATTGCTGGATTCCGTGTAAGACCAGGAATATTTTGAATACAAATGTCATATATTTTGCACAAAAAATAACATATTTACTCAGAGTAAACATTATATCTAAAATTTGTATGTCTAATGCAAAATCTATGATGTTTATATTCAAAATGATCATCATATTGTAAGAATTCCAGCAATGTAAATTATATTCTGGCCGGGTAATTTGTATGAATTTTATGAGCTAAAACAGGCAGTCAGGCAGGGTGGCGGGTGGGACGAATCTAAAAATAGCTCTCGAGCCGGACACTCACCGCATATACGTGGAAAAACCCCGCGTTAAGTGAAAGTTCGGCTCTGGCGAGGCACCGCGTATATGGTAAAACGCGCGAAGCGAAACCGCGTTAAGCGGGGCAATACTGTATGTATATATATATATATATATATATATATATATATATATATATATATATATATATATATATATATATATATATATATATATATATATATATATATATATATATATATATATATATATATATATATATATATATATATATATATATATATATATATATATTATTAACCTATAGAAACAAGAAAACACAAAGTTTCCAAGCACTTTTGAGTAATTCACATCTTCGAGGGTGAGTACAGACTAAGGAGTAATTATTGACAAGGCTAATATACTATACCTGTACAGTAAAGGAGAGTGAGATAAAGTCCCGAGGGACAGCAGGTTTCAACCCTTTCATCTGGTTACAACTCTTGTTAATCACAAAATTGTCCAATTTGTATATGCCATTACTCAAATTCATGTTGACAGATTCAGTATGTTTAATGAAACTAGATTCTATAATGTTCCTACTCATAATTAAATTATTGGGGAATATTGAGGAGGCATTAGCCCAGTCAATGCAATGCTTATGATCTCTCAAATAAATGAATAAAGCATTGGATTCCTGGCCTGTCCTAACACTATATTTATGCTGTTTAAGTCTAGTTATAAGATTTTTCCCATGTGGTCTAAGTAGAACATCTTACTTTCCTTGCAAGGAATCTTGTAAATGCAGCCATTTGCATTGCTGGGGTAGTTTTTAATTAACATTAGTTTTACAGTGCATAAATTACTAAATGTTACATTTATATTCCAGGTTTTCAGTTGTAGATGAATTTGAGAGAAATTTTTGTTAAATGGGAATACTGTGAGATTTCTTAGCAATGTTAAGGAATTTGTCTTTAAAAGAACTAGAGTTCGTTCCGTTAAATAGAGAATACTGTACTGTATATCGTAGAAGTAAAAAAGTATATCATTCATAAAGTATTCAAGTACTGAAAGTAAAAAGAAAATTATTGTCTCAAATATTAAAATAAATCCACAGTAAATTATAAAAAACTCGTTACCAAAAGATAAAAATAAAAGACACATAACATTACCCGCACACATATTATTATTTGCAAATATTTCAATTGAGATTAATCAGTAACCGATTCTCAAAATTATGGCTGTCCAATCAGGATCTTTTAGGCTTAAATATAAGATACAGCATGGTCTACCTAAAGAGAATACTTCAGTCGCTCTTCTCCCTACAATCCATCGCAGGGACAGTGAATGGGCTGAAATATATCCATCCAACACTAGGATCACTTTCTTCCTTATCCACACAAGTATCGCCGACGTGGACTTATGGTAAGCAGACATAATGTTGTCTCTGCTCGTATTAGGTTAAGATACAGATCTTACTGGCAAGTATCTGAGGCGGGGGATGACCCACACTTCTCTTCCTGTAAACTCTGTAACTGTCCCAATGCTAACACCCTTCAACACTACCATATTGCCTTGACTGTCCCATTGTCAGGGACCTCCTACCACAGGGAGAGTTGCTAACCACACTATGTCACCACCTACTTATTTGTAATAATTTAGATTTAATTTTTGTAAGCTACCCAAGCTGTAGTGGGTGCTAAATCCCATTGTCCTTAAATTACACCAATATTTTCTCCATACCACAAGTCATAGTGTGTCCTGCGAGACATGAATACCAATATATTAGCATCTGACCGCATGGACTTGTGACTAGGCTTGTCGCCCCCTGGGGTGTAATAAATTAATTAAGTAATAAATAATAAGCCCAACATGATAGACTAAACAGACGCTCACAAACAGCAGATGCCTACCTGTGGATACAATGCCTGTAATGATAATTTCAATAAAATAATAATAGTGTACTATAATAAAATTAAAATAATAATAATAATAATAATAATAATAATAATAATAATAATAATAATAATAATAATAATAATGTAACAAACATAATAATATTGTAACAAACAAGAGATAAAATAATATCAGATAAAACCATCTACACCCGAGAATGTTTCCTCCTTATGTAATAAATAAAAATCATCATTACAATACAGTAAAAGATCTATCCTGGACTACACATGTAAATACCGGGGTTGAAGTACTGTACTATCTGTTTGCTTACCTGAGACAACCTAAATTGCAATAAACAAGTGCAAATTATGTCAATAATTGCCTATTAGAGGATCTACTGCTTTCAGTTCACAAAATTGGATTGGGTTAATTTTTAAGATCAATTTAAAACATATACCAGTACACCTGAGTAACACCTAACATATACCAGTACACCTTTGTAACACCTAACATACTGTACCAGGATACCCTAAGGTTACACCAAGCTTCCACCCACAGTAAAACTCAAGGTAATTCTAATAGGTGTGACAGCACATGAGCCAAGATCTTCGATAAGAGGCTGTCTTATCATTGGTCACTTGACATTGCTAATCTAACCCTCTTATGATGTCTCTATATGTACTGTATATACAGTATACAGTATAACTAACTCAAGATATTTGGAGTGCTTGGTTGATATACTTTGAGGTATTATTATAAAAAAAAGTGAAGTTGGAGTGATTGGTAGTCTCAGTATTGTATTAAAAAAAGAGGAAAATTGACACTTCTATAATGTTTAGTATATTTTAATGTTTTAGAGTTGTGAATACAGTATTTTTGTTCAAACCCCAGAATGAGACGCCTAGCTTTAATCTAGGTATGTTAATGCCTTGCAATAACTCGCCAGGCCAACATACAGGCAATTAAAACATCTAATAATTACTTAATAAGTAATATTAAGAGGACACGTTGCTACCTGGCATTTAATTGCAATTCTCGAAACCCCCTCCTTCACCCCCCACATGCACTGCCACTGTCATCTTCTTGCCTGGTTATTCAGCTGTAAAACACACAAAGAAGGCTCCATGAATTTGCTGTAATTGAAATACTAAGTTCCATGAGGATTTTATATACGTATTAATACTTCTTAGCACAGTGAGGAAGTAAGTGACTTATTTTGGTTTACGCTCTCAATTATTGTGTTTGGGACAATTTCTTATACAATCTTTGTCACATCATGGCTACTACAACACGCCTTCTCTATGAATTCACTATAGATGTGGCCAACCTTTTACATACCATGACCTAATTTGTTCACACACACTTCAGATGCCATACAACTCTTGTACCTTCGTCTACTTTTAAAAATATGTTTATAGACATAATTAGCATTTTACATGATAAAATTATTAAATATAAAAACAATATCTGATAAAGCAGATAAACATTACTTACCTTTTAATGAGACTTTTGAGTCTGTTTTGATTTTGCCAGTCTTTCAATGTTTGGAGTTAAATTTGTTAGAGAGAGCAGCAGAGAATTCTTCAAATTTGAATCAGTCAGTGCTAATTGTTTTTGCTTTTTAATCAATTTCATGGATGAAAATGCTTGTTCATATCTATATGTCGTTCAAACGACATGTACAACTCTGGGCAAATTTTCTTAGTTCTGGGAAATACAGGGTAATGATCGCCAGAAATTAATCATATCAGAAGCATTTGGGACTGAGGAAAGCTCATCAAATTTCATTTTCAATAATGAATTTGTTTTCAAGTCAATAAGTTCCATTTGTATGTCACTAGGCATCTTCATTATTTTTGTTCACTAAGGAAATGGGTTTATAACGCGAAGATGCAGTCTTCTTTCTTTTGCAAAATCACGAAAACGACTTTCAAATGACTTGCAATAACTTGATTTTTTCAGTATATTTTGTCAAATTGCCATTATCAGCAGCACATTCACTCTGTTTTAAGCGCCGAAACTGGCTCAAATCCTCATTTTCTAATTGAGATGAACAGTTTTAACTTCATCTTGAATGCATTGATGTCATTTACTAAGCTAGGAACAATTTGTTTTTGCCCTGCAGTTTCAAATTTAGATCATTGAGATGTCTGGTAACATCAACTAAAATGCCAAATCAAATCGCCAGTTTTATCACATAAAAGGGCTCTTTCCTTAGGTAGCTCAATTTTCTTCTAGAAAATTATGAACAGTATTTTCAGTTTCCAAACTTACTCAGAACCTGTCCTCAAAGCCAGGACTCACAATGCAGGACAAGGTCACCATATTCCAAATCTAACATTTCACAATATTCTCTGAATTCTCGTCTGTTTAATGCTCTTGCTCTAATTTTATTCACACATTTCACAACCGGTAACATAACATGCTGCAAATTTAAAGTTTTTCCACACAGTGACTCTTGGTGTATAATGCAGTGATATTTTAGTAGAGGACGATTTAACAAGTTTTCAATGCAATGCGCCACTTCTAATCATCCAATGCGCCACGTTTGGCGCATGCGCCGGAGGTTGGCCATCCCTGCTATAGATCGTTTGTGACGATTCCTTGCTTTTAAGTCACTCAGTGAATGTCGCCCTCCCGGGCTCGTCTTCACTGAAAGAAAATATTTAGATATATATATGTATTTATCTATACATATATATGTACTGTAAACTGTTTCCGATTTTCTTTGTCCCAATTATACACATGCTAGTATGAATACCATGTGGCTATCTCTCTTCCTATTCTTATGTTCGTTCACAAAACTTTTGGGCTTCCGCCCTGGGTTTTCTAATTGCTCTCAGCATGAAGGCCAGAGTTGAGTTTTTCTCTTCATAACTTAATTTATTGATGTCCTCAGTAGCGGGTTCAGCCTTTCCAGGCGAACTTTAGCGAGGCTGCTAGACTTACGCCTTCCGGAATGCTGACCTTCCGGTCTCACTAGCAATCTAGAGTTATGTTGAGATGGACTTTGCATCCTTATATGGGTTATATGGAGAACCATTCAGGTGGAATTCTCAACCCAATAAATATTGCTAGAGTAATAGTGAACAATGCGCCAAAAGAGCACTACAGTTAACCCTCACTTTACGCGGTTAATGTAACCCGGAGGGTACCGCGGAAAGCGAGAAACGCGTAAAGTGAATAACATAACATATGGGATTAATTGAAATGGAGTCCAGGCCGATCCCCAAACTCCACTTTTTGACGACACATAACTATGTTGTAGTAAAAATAACATCTTAATTTTATGATGGTACATGCACACAATTAATACTTAAGAGAAATAGAGAAATACAGTCGCCAAGTTAATGTCCATTCAAATAATGGACACGACTCCCTCCCCTCTTCTCACACTACACTGCTGGCTCTTCCCTCTGAGAAATTTTGGGGGGAAAACCAGGTATAGTAATAAATAATACCTCAAACTAAAGTTAGGATAATATAATTGACATTGCTGGATTCCTTGTAAGACCAGGAATATTTTGAATATAAATGTCATATATTTTTCACAAAAGATAACATATTTACTCAGATTAAACATTACATCTAAAATTTGTATGTCTAATGCAAAATCTATGATGTTTATATTCAAAATGATCATCAAATTGTAAGAATTCCAGCAATGTAAATTATATTCTGGTCGGGTAATTTGTATGAATTTTATGAGCTAAAACAAATATCTTCAGTTAATAAAATAAAAAAATATTCTTCACGACACTATCTGTCAATCAAAGTACCCCAACATGCCTCCCCCCCTCTTCCAACCAGCCAGATGGTCAGTCCGTCCCAACCCTCCCCCCCCACCTCCCACCTTCCCTCCCTTCAAGAGAAAGAGTGGGTGAAAAAACTAGATTTTAACATTTAGTATTAAATAATACCTCAGATTAAAGTTAGGATAATATAATTGACATTGCTGGATTCCTTGTAAGACCAGGAATATTTTGAATATAAATGTCATATATTTTGCACAAAAGATAACATATTTACTCAGAGTGAACATTATATCTAAAAATTTTATGTCTAATGCAAAATATATGATGTTTATATTCAAAATGATCATCAAATTGTAAGAATTCCAGCAATGTAAATTATATTCTGGCCGGGTAATTTGTATGAATTTTATGAGCTAAAATAAAATCTTCAGTTAATAAAAAAAAAATATTCTTCACACGGTAACAGATGGTCGGTCGCCGGTCCCTCCCTCCCCCCCCCCCCCACCAACCGTCCCTACTAGAAAATGTGTGGGAAAACCAGATTTTAACATTTAGTAATAAATAATACCTCAGATTAAAGTTAGGATAATATAATTGACATTGCTGGATTCCTTGTAAGACCAGGAATATTTTGAATATAAATATCATATATTTTGCACAAAAGATAACATATTTACTCAGAGTAAACAGTATATCTAAAATTTGTATGTCTAATGCAAAATATATGATGTTTATATTCAAAATGATCATCAAATTGTAAGAATTCCAGCAATGTAAATTATATTCTGGCCAGATAATTTGTATGAATTTTATGAGCTAAATAAAAAAATTATACTTCACCCGTGTAAAGGGGTACACCCACCGTGTAAAGGGGTACACCCACCGCGGAATGTGAGCATCCTGGGTTCTGGCAGGGCACCGCGTAAACGTAGAAACGCGGAATGTGGGACCACGTAAAGTGAGGGTTGACTGTATTTTAGAGGCTCAGCACTGTCAACCCTGCCGGGTGATAGTACTCACTCAGGCATTATCGCTCAAGCTAATTAATTGGGGATAATGTCTGTGCCCCTGATTGACAACAAATAGAGAACTTGATGATCCCTCTCAATAAAATGCTCTAAATGAAATAAGTTTATGTAAAAAAAAAAAAAAAAAAAAATTTCATTGAGCTAAGGGATACTTGAGATAAGAGTGGGGAGATGGATACAACATAGTGAGTTAATTGTTTATAATTGTCAAACGAGTGACTTATATAACAATAAGATATTTTAATGAATTAACTTACTAATAATATAACAATTATGAGTCATATTGATTAGGTTTGGGAGAAAATGTTTTCTCCCTTATATTTTTATAATGATATAATGTGACTCATAGTGTTCCTCCTAGTTTAGAAGAGTGATGTGCAACTAGAGGATGAAGGACAGGAGTCCGGACTAATGGAAGATGGAGGAGACTATGGAACTGTCCCTGAGGAGCTAGTATTGAGTGATGAGCTACAAGGACTAGAAAGTTCAGCTCATACACTACATACAAGGAATTGTCTGTTAGTAGAGAATGTGAATTCAGTAGTAGTAGTTTCACCCAAGACCCAAGGGGACCATACTACATGTAATTATAAAAAATGTAGAGCCACTTGGATTACTAAGATAGATCCTCATGTGGCTTGCATAAATCATGGCAGCTGTGTCTCAAATAACCTATTTTCACCAATGGATTTTGCAGTTTTTTATGATTAAATTTTTCAATTTCATCAAGCTACAGGTGATAAGAAAGAATTATCGCAGATCCAAATTAAAAATTGGTGGAATAAGGCCTTGAAGAGTAAATTCTTAAATGTAAAACAATGGAAAGATCCCAAGTTGGCAGAAAGTTTAGGTTTATTGGTGTTAGGTAAGAGACTTAATCCCCACTTAGACAAGACTGCTTCTGCTAAGAAAAATAAGTAATTGGACCTTCCAGACAATGGAGCAGTAGGAAGTGTACAAAAACCTCTATCTACTCAGTCTGATTTCAGTGGATTCCAGGATCAGGACGATGAGGCTGGTTCTAATCCTGTTGAGACTGACTTCATCCTATCCACATTTTGGCAACCACTTCCACCTGTAAATAGGTGTCCAAATATGAGAGCCTACGTATGAAGAAACAAACATTCCTGCGCTTTGAGACCAGCAGACAACCTTTAGCAATTCCTCAATAGATGGCGCTGCCGCAACACTGCCATTAGTAAACATACCGCACAGCAGCTAGGGTATATTTTTATTTTTTTGCAATATATCAACAATATTAGTTAAATCAATAGTTTTATAGTACAGTATAGTCTCGGTTTACGCGGATTTTCCTTACTCGGTTGATCATTTACACGGCACCTGTCCAGACGCGCCAATTATTAGTTACGTGGTACATTCCTGAATTTACACGGGAAGCGGCGCGGACAAGCTGCGCGCTAGGTCGCTCTTACGTCACCGCTGACGTCAGATGGCATTTCAGACTGATTGGGCCAAGCATCCTTACCACCCACGCATCCCCTCCGCCACGAACTGTGATTGGTCTATTTAACCTTGCTTGCTCAATCAACAAAACATTACGTAGTTCTTCACCCGCCACCCACCACAGCCAGCCCAAGTCAGTGATAGTGAGGATATGGACTTTGAGGGGTTTGACAAAGAGACCCTGCTAGCCTCTGTGGTGGATAGTGATACAGGTGATACAAGTGATAAAGGTGAGGGCCAATAATCTACCCTCTGCCTCGGAACCAACCCCCCATCCCTGTGTGCCCAGCCATCTCTTCTACTAACGTAAGTGTTAAAAAACCTAATATTATTTATATTTCTCTTAAATATTAATTGTGTATGCATACCATC